GCATCAATACTGCAATATTGTGTTTTACCCTTTGAATAATGTTGATCAACTAATTTTCTTTGTTCTTCTGCTAATTTGGTGTTTTTATTATAATAATTTCTTTCTAATCTTGCCTTAGATAGATGTTCTTTAAATCTTTTGAGTAAATCTTTAGCCTCTTCCTCTTGGTGAGCATTATAGTGTAAACCATCTCTAAAGTGCTAACAAGTATCACACAAGTCAGTCCTTGGACTCATAATTTGAATTTCTGGTGTCAATTGATGTCATAATTTTCTGAATGTATCATATTTTAAGGATTCCAATTTGCTATCTTCTTCTAGACCAGTTAGAAAATCCCTGTGGATTGATTTATAACTCATTTCAGCTGGTAAGAATACAATTGATTGAGTTATTCTATTGATACTTCTGCCTGGACTTGGTAATCCATGGGCTTCTGCATAATTTTCTAGAAAATTCTTTACTACTTCTGCAACATTTTTATCAATCACCATTTTGGTTTTTCATTGAGGCATCTTCTTTATATTGCCATGAACTCTTACTAGAAGGCCATTGTTTATCAGATGATTTCTAAGATTCTCAAAATAAGTTCTACCAATTCCTAGCATATTGAGATAGGTTACTTGACAAAGAAGTGTATTATGATCTCAATGATAGAAAGTTCTTTTATTAGACCTAGTTTTCTTTTTAAGACATCTGCTAGTGCTTGTTGATCCACCATCCATTGCTTTAAGTTGGGCCATTAAAAATATGTCTTGTTCTGTTTTGGAAAGGATTCTCTTAATTCTGCAAATTGTTCCTTGGGAATTCTTGAAGAACAACCACAATCACAACCTTTTTCTAAAAAGTTGAGTGCCCTTTCATATTCATTAGAGCCATTATTACTTTTCATATACACTTATCCCTATATATACAATTTTATGCTTACTTTGTAGGTTTTCCTTTATTTAAAATTGAAGAGATTCTAAAATTGGTCCTGTGGTGATGAGCAAAGTGGGCAGAAAAGAATTAAATTTGAGTGGATCTGCAAATAAATATCAGAAATATTTTCAAGTATATATTCAATGATTGATATGTTAGATTTAAATTATTTATTATTACTAAAAATGGATAAGATAAATTATCTTGAGACCTGAGATTTATTGATCAACTAAAACAGATAAACAAATAAATAAAAGATAATTATTGTTATTTCTAAAAAAACAATTGAAGAAAATTGTTGATTATACTAAAACATTAAAACAGATTTTTTTATCTTAGAATTAATGCACAATGTAGTCTTCTGAGATTTTTGCTGAATATATCATTTGATCTAATAAAATCTAATTGAAATGTATTAAAAAAAAAGGCAATAATATAGTATTTTACACAAAATTATTACAACCCTTAAATTAACCTATATGATAGAACAAAAGCAAAAATATTGTCAAAAGTGTGACAAATGACTAGATAATGAGAGTGATTATACGGAAATTGAGAGAAATCCAATGTACAGCAGCAACACCATTTATCTTAAATGTAATGATTGTGGCGAGAAGGGGTTTTATTACCATGTTAACTCAGGAAGTTCATGTGCCTTTTGTTTTAAAGAGTTAGATGTCAGTCGCTCTGAATGAAAAAAAGGACCTAATTTTTATAAAAGAGTAGTAAAAGAACATGATTACGACGAAAAAACTGGAACTTGAACTATTAACCATGAATGTAAGGTTAAATGTCAAACCTGTGAGGAAACTAAACCTTTTGAAGAAATGTCAATTGGAATTCTATTTAGTTTTGGTGAAAGAAGATGAAAAACAAACCTACGAAGCATATGCTAACCCTCATGTTGCCGAAGAAAAAAGGATTTATCAAAGATACTTAAAATTGAAAAATAAGTTTAGCGATGGAAGTCCAAGCAGAGAGAGAGAGAGAGAACAAAATTGCCAAACTGAAATCTGAAATACAGCAACTAAAACAAATTACTAACCAAACTGCTGAACAAGAACAAAAATTACGGGAAAAAAAGCAAAGATTAGCAGAATTAGAAGGGGATAAGCAACAAGAGAAAGACACAAAAAAGCCTACTAACTGAATGCCTTGAATAGTTGGGGGAGCTATTTTAGTATTAGTAGTAGGAATAATTGCTTATCTCTGAGGGAAAAATAAAGAAAAGTAAGATGCTGAAATTTAAAAACTTATCAGATTTAACCAAAACTCTCTCCTCCGAACAAGATTTTGTTAATTGCTTTGAAAAACTTCGTTGGAATGGTAAAATAATCTCCCCTTTTGACCCTAATTCCAAAGTTTATAAGTGTGCTAATAACCGATATAGATGTAAAAATACAGGCAAATATTTTAATGTAAAAACGAAAACGGCACTTGAAAATTCTAATATACCATTAAGAAAATGATTTTTAGCCTTAACTCTTTTTTCCTCTCATAAAAAGGGAATTTCTTCCTACCATTTGGCTAGATATATCAGTATCACACAAAAATCGGCTTGGTTTGTTTTACATCGGCTACACCGTGGTTCTTTTGCCCCATTTTTGAAACTATGCTAAAAAACAATATAGAAGTAGACGAAACCTTTATTGGTGGTAAGAATAAAAACCGACACTGAAATAAAAAGGTTCCTAATTCCCAAGGTAGGAGTTGGAAAGATAAAACACCAGTATTAGGCATGTTAGAACGAAATGGCAACCTAATTGCCCAAGTGGTTCAGAATACCCAACAGAACACAATTGAACCAGTTATTAAGTCTAATATTAAGCAAGGTTCTAATGTTTTTACCGATGAATGACATGCTTATAAAGACTTGAATAAGCAATTCAACCACCAAATAGTTAATCATAGTGCTAAACAATATGTAAATGAAAAGGCTCATACTAATTCGATAGAAAACTTTTGGTCTCATTTAAAGAGAGGTATTTATGGGACTTATCACTGGATAAGTAAAAAGCATTTACATAGTTATATTGATGAATTTGTTTTAAGATTTAACACCAGGAAGTATGAGGAGCGAGAGAGGTTTGATTTAGTGCTTACTTCGGTTGTAGGCCAACACCTAACCTATCAACAACTAATCAAATAAACTACAAAAATAAAATAATGGACAAGAAAATACCCTGTGGTGCTTGTGGACACTATCTTGACGAGGTTTATATGCACAAAAATGAAAATGGTAAAATATACTGCACTACCTGCGAATTGCTGATTAATAGTAATGAAGATTTAGATAGTATTGAGCCAGGAAATATTGAACCAGCAAGCCAAGAAGAGCTTGAGAAGAATATAAAAACCTTGCTAAACACCCCACCCTTAAAATGAAAAAACCTCAAAGCAAAACTCAAAAAGGAACGAGAGGAGAACCGAAAATTCAGAGAAAAAAAGAATTCCAAATAGTTTTTTGTTTTTTTTTGTGTAAAATACTATATTTATTGCCAAAAAAAATAAACAAATGTTTGAATTTTTTTTTTTTTTTTTTAATCAAAAAAGAAATTTTAAAATATATAAATCATTAGTGCTGATCCATTTTTTTTAACATATATAGTACGAATGCAAAAAGTAGATTAAATTCACCATATAGTAAATATATCATTAACATATATAAAAGAAGAAAAGGTTGCCGTGTTACGGTGTCTTACTAAATGTTGCAATTTTTAACATATATAAAAGAAGAAAAGGTTTCCGTGTTATGGTGCCTTACTCGATGTCGTAATTTTCGTGTAGATTTTTTATATTTTGCGTAATATTTCCCCTTTTTTTGTATGTTTTCCCTAATCTAACGACTTTGCCCAATTCTGAAATGTTTGGTTGTACGGGAAATGTTTCGTTGTAAAAGAAGTTACTGTTACTGTTACCGTAACGTGACGTAATGTAACGTAACGTAACGAAACGAACGAAACGTAACCATAACTTCTAAACGTCCTGTTTCTCAACTTTATTAAACTGAATTTTTGGGGAAGGAAGAGATCAAAATCAAAGGGTATAACATTATGATGAGTCGTTTTTTTTTTTTTTGCTGCGCTGGCTTGAAATGATTTGCAAATTAATTTGAAATTTGTTAATTAATGAAATTGAAATTTGAACAGAAATATTAAAAAAAAATGATAAATGGTTGTGGTTATTTTTACGTCACCGTATTGTGCGAAACCCAATTGCTATCTGTTTATCATGATTTGTGAATTGAAAAACTTATCTGTTTTGGTTCAAAACGTCAGGTTTGAGCGAAACAGTTACTTGACTGAAAGGAAATCGTGTTTCGCTTTAGATGTTTTTGCGTGGTGTTGACTGCTGTCCATTGTTAGGTCTTCGTCTTGCTCAGACGTTTGGACCATTCAAAATGACCAAAAACTGATGGCCTTTGTCTTAGAACCTTTACCTTGGATCGTCAAAGGCTCATCACACAACATGTTTGTGATATTTTCTGGTCACAAGACCAGGGTTCAAAAACGGTTTATTTCATTTTGTCAATTTAAAAAAAAATGATCGATAAACAAACAATATGTGCAAATTTGTTTTGATTGTTCATGTTGAATTAAAATTTTTTTTTGGATTTTGACCATTTGAAGGATAGTGGATGATCTGATTTCCTTTTGGAGAAAACAATAAAATCGTTAATTAATGAAAAAATTTCCTTTCGGGAAAAACAAATAAAATACGTCGATTGATTAAGAAAAAAAAAAGCTTGGTTGATTTTTCTTAAAACAATCAAAATTTGTAAATGACTTTTGATGTTTGATGAAGCTTATTCTTCTATAGCGATAGATGAAAAAAAACATGAGGAAAAGATAAGGACAAAAAATTTTAATAATCGAAATTCGCAAATGGCTTTTGATTCACACGGGTTCTTCTTTGCAAAGGATCTTTTTTTCTTTTAATTAAGAAAAAAAAAAGCTTGGTTGATTTTTTTAACAATTGAAATTTATTCTTTTATGGGATAACAACCATTTCATTGGATTAAATTTATTCCATGATTTTTATTTGTGTAATCTAAAAAAAAAATAAAATTAAACAGAAAAAGTAAACTGTTAAATACAAGACATATGACAACATACGAAACTTCCAAAGCAAGTTTGTAAAATATATTGATGAATGTTTATCAATTATTGAATAGCTTGTATCGAAATAATTATTAAAAGCCAAGATCTATGAATGAATCTGTTTGTAAAATATATTTAATGAGCGCTTTATCAATTATTCAAATGATTATATAGGCAGGATTGGTAGAAGTGAGTGTTAAAGTCAAGATCTATTTGCAAATCAAGTTTCCAAAATGAACGTTTGTTATTATAGGTGGGTTTGATCAAAGTAAGTCTTAAAGTCAAGATCTATGAAGCTGTTTGTAAAATATGTTTAATTAACGTTTTATTTATTATTATCGATTATTCAATAACCATATAGGCGGGTTTGATCGGTCAAGATCTATATAATTAGATTGTTAATAGTTAATAATGGAATTTTATTACATGCAAAAAAAAAAATTTTGGGGTTGTAAATTTTGTTTTATTAAATAAATTCGTTTGATTTTTCATACATTGTTCATGTTTTCTCTTGATTGTGTATCTTAAATTGGTCGTGTTTATGATCATTTTGACATTCGTTATATTAAGGTTATTTTGATTATATCGTGAGATCTGATCAAGAGAAGAGTTAGGAAGAGAGTTATTCTTCAACCAAGTTGAAAACCACCCCTTTAAATACATTTTCGAGTAGTACAATTTAATTTATTAGACTATTTCAAATGGTTGCTTCCAACTTCTTAAATTCGAACCATTTGTTAAAAAAACAACTGTTAGTGAAGTGATGAATCAAAACCAACATTTATTTTTACGTTATCAAATTCGTGCCTATTTGTTAGAACGAAATGGCAACCTAATTGCCCAAGTGGTTCAGAATACCCAACAGAACACAATTGAACCAGTTATTAAGTCTAATATTAAGCAAGGTTCTAATGTTTTTACCGATGAATGACATGCTTATAAAGACTTGAATAAGCAATTCAACCACCAAATAGTTAATCATAGTGCTAAACAATATGTAAATGAAAAGGCTCATACTAATTCGATAGAAAACTTTTGGTCTCATTTAAAGAGAGGTATTTATGGGACTTATCACTGGATAAGTAAAAAGCATTTACATAGTTATATTGATGAATTTGTTTTAAGATTTAACACCAGGAAGTATGAGGAGCGAGAGAGGTTTGATTTAGTGCTTACTTCGGTTGTAGGCCAACACCTAACCTATCAACAACTAATCAAATAAACTACAAAAATAAAATAATGGACAAGAAAATACCCTGTGGTGCTTGTGGACACTATCTTGACGAGGTTTATATGCACAAAAATGAAAATGGTAAAATATACTGCACTACCTGCGAATTGCTGATTAATAGTAATGAAGATTTAGATAGTATTGAGCCAGGAAATATTGAACCAGCAAGCCAAGAAGAGCTTGAGAAGAATATAAAAACCTTGCTAAACACCCCACCCTTAAAATGAAAAAACCTCAAAGCAAAACTCAAAAAGGAACGAGAGGAGAACCGAAAATTCAGAGAAAAAAAGAATTCCAAATAGTTTTTTGTTTTTTTTTGTGTAAAATACTATATTTATTGCCAAAAAAAATAAACAAATGTTTGAATTTTTTTTTTTTTTTTTTAATCAAAAAAGAAATTTTAAAATATATAAATCATTAGTGCTGATCCATTTTTTTTAACATATATAGTACGAATGCAAAAAGTAGATTAAATTCACCATATAGTAAATATATCATTAACATATATAAAAGAAGAAAAGGTTGCCGTGTTACGGTGTCTTACTAAATGTTGCAATTTTTAACATATATAAAAGAAGAAAAGGTTTCCGTGTTATGGTGCCTTACTCGATGTCGTAATTTTCGTGTAGATTTTTTATATTTTGTGTAATATTTCCCCTTTTTTTGTATGTTTCCCTAATCTAACGACTTTGCCCAATTTTGAAATGTTTGGTTGCATGGGAAATGTTTCATTGTAAAAGAAGTTACAGTTACTGTTACCGTAATGTAACGTAACATAACGTAACGAAACGTAACTGTAACTTCTAAACGTCCTGTTTCTCAGCTTTATTAAACTGAATTTTTGGGGAAGGAAGAGATCAAAATCAAAGGGTATAACATTATGATGAGTCGTTTTTTTGTTTTTTTGCTGCGCTGGCTTGAAATGATTTGCAAATTAATTTGAAATTTGTTAATTAATGAAATTGAAATTTGAACA